GAGTAACAGAATGGTATCCAAGGGACAGCAAAAGAAGACGAGGAAGGCAGCATGCAAGGTGGGAAGACGAAATAAAACTTACAGCAGGACCAAACTGGAGAAGGGTTGCTCAAGATAGACAACAATGGAAATCGTTGGAGGAGGCCTTTGCCAATAGGCACGCCGAACTAAGAGACATTTTATAGTTAGTAGATTCTTTTATCTTAAGTTTTAATGTTAAATGCTATTAGATCGGAATAAAGGGCTTTATTATTATTGGGGTATCTATATAGTTTTCTCATCTGGTTGGGTTCTATAAATATATAATTATAAATGAAAATTAAAAGATAAATATACATAAATATCAATAACATAAAATAAATATAAAAGTACATAAATAAGTAAAAGCCCAACCAGATGGAGGCCCTCGGCAGGGGAGACCAAACGGCCGAGGGTTAGGGGGAAAGGGAAAGAAACCGGCGGACGATGCGGGCGGTATCGAGGAGCACCGCCTTCTGCATTTGAACCTGGAGCGGTCCGCCACGTAGTCCCAGCCGCCTCAGATGACCCGAGAGGCTGACTGGGATTAGCCCGTTTGCAGAGACGACTACAGCAATAATTTCGGTCGGCAGACCACCCCACATGTCGGTCACCTCGTGAGCCAGGTCCAGATATTTTGTTTGCTTATCTGTTTCGGCTTTCACGAGGTTCTCGTCATACGGAATGGTAATGTCGACCAAAAATATCCTTGACTGTGCCCGGTCCATCAGCACAATATCAGGCTTATTCGCAAGAATAGTCCTGTCTGTGATGATGGCCCGGTCCCAATAGAGCCTGGCGCGATCATTTTCGAGCACGGCTTCCGGCAAGTACTTGTAATACGGTAATTTCCGATCCACGAGACCGTATTTCAGAGCGAGCTCCTGGTGTAGAATTCTGGCTACTAGGTTGTGCCTGTGCAAGTACTCAGAGTTAGAAAGCGCCGAACAACCGGAGATAACATGCCTAAGTGACTCACCGGGATGGCGACAAGCTCGACAGATGTCGACGGTGCCATCCTTTAGGATGTATCTCCGATAGTTGTTGGTCTTAATAACCTGATCCTGTATTGCACAGACAAAACCCTCGGTTTCCCCGAAGAGATCACCAAAGCGTAGCCAGTGGAGGGAGGCTACTGTGTCTACGAAAGGCTCATGTAGAGCCTTGTAGAACCTCCCGTGGAGCTCCTTCTCCTTCCATACGGTCTCCCGGTCGGAAATGCTCTGCACTGCCGGGTCTTGCCATTGCTCGTTGGCTAAGGATAGAGGGGTAAGTCCTTTATCACAAGAAATGACGTCCTTATAGAATGGATCATCCGATCTCGCCAGGAAGTAATCACGGAGGCTGCACACTTCGCGATTATGCATGGTGAGCGCGCTCAAGAAGCCACGACCACCATGCTTCCGCGCCAAGTACACCCTCATTACCGACGATCTCGGATGATGCATCCTATGGGAGGTCATGGTAGTGCGGACTTTTCTATCCAGGGCGTTAAGTTCAGTCTGAGTCCACCTGAGTATGCCAAAGGTATACATGAGGACAGGCATGACCCAGCCGTTATATGCGTGTGCCTTATTCACACCGGACAAAAGGCTGTTAAGCACTTTGGTCAAGCGTGCATAAAACACGTCGCAAACTGACTGTTTCATACCAGCCTCATCGATACCGATGTTCTGTGACATACCCAGGTATCGGTATGTTTCAGCCTCGGAAAGGGTTCTTAAGTTGACGGGCATAGATAAGTCTACGCCCTCAGAGTTAGCAACCCTTCCCCTTTCAACATGGAGGACCGCACACTTGTCCGTCCCCAGCTCCATTCTAATGGAATTGCTAAATTCACAAGTGATGCTTAGCAATTCCATAAGATGGGAGCGACTGGAGGCGAATAACTTGAGGTCATCCATATAGAAAAGGTGGGTCACTTTTGATCCCTCCTTTCCGTAGCTGAAATCCCCTCCCGGAGCCCTCCAGTAAGGTACTGAGAGGGTTCAGAGAGAGGCAGAACCAGATTGGACTCAGACAATCGCCCTGGAAGATACCCCTTCTTATCCTTATGCGGCTTTCCGCAGCCGTCATCCGCTCGCCTAGATATTATTATTATGGGGTATCTATATAGTTTTCTCATCTGGTTGGGTTCTATAAATATATAATTATAAATGAAAATGAAAAAATAAATATACATAAATATCAATAACATAAAATAAATATAAAAGTACATAAATAAATAAAAGCCCAACCAGATGGAGGCCCTCGGCAGGGGAGACCAAACGGCCGAGGGTTAGGGGGAAAGGGAAAGAAACCGGCGGACGATGCGGGCGGTATCGAGGAGCACCGCCTTCTGCATTTGAACCTGGAGCGGTCCGCCACGTAGTCCCAGCCGCCTCAGATGACCCGAGAGGCTGACTGGGATTAGCCCGTTTGCAGAGACGACTACAGGAATAATTTCGGTCGGCAGACCACCCCACATGTCGGTCACCTCGTGAGCCAGGTCCAGATATTTTGTTTGCTTGTCTGTTTCGGCTTTCACGAGGTTCTCGTCATACGGAATGGTAATGTCGACCAAAAATATCCTTGACTGTGCCCGTCCATCAGCACAATATCAGGCTTATTCGCAAGAATAGTCCTGTCTGTGATGATGGCCCGGTCCCAATAGAGCCTGGCGCGATCATTTTCGAGCACGGCTTCCGGCAAGTACTTGTAGTACGGCAATTTCCGGTCCACGAGACCGTATTTCAGAGCGAGCTCCTGGTGTAGAATTCTGGCTACTAGGTTGTGCCTGTGCAAGTACTCAGAGTTAGAAAGCGCCGAACAACCAGAGATAACATGCCTAAGTGACTCACCGGGATGGCGACAAGCTCGACAGATGTCGACGGTGCCATCCTTTAGGATGTATCTCCGATAGTTGTTGGTCTTAATAACCTGATCCTGTATTGCACAGACAAAACCCTCGGTTTCCCCCGAAGAGATCACCAAAGCGTAGCCAGTGGAGGGAGGCTACTGTGTCTACGAAAGGCTCATGTAGAGCCTTGTAGAACCTCCCGTGGAGCTCCTTCTCCTTCCATACGGTCTCTCGGTCGGAAATGCTCTGCACTGCCGGGTCTTGCCATTGCTCGTTGGCTAAGGATAGAGGGGGTAAGTCCTTTATCACAAGAAATGACGTCCTTATAGAATGGATCATCCGATCTCGCCAGGAAGTAATCACGGAGGCTGCACACTTCGCGATTATGCATGGTGAGCGCGCTCAAGAAGCCACGACCACCATGCTTCCGCGACAAGTACAACCTCATTACCGACGATCTCGGATGATGCATCCTATGGGACGTCATGGTAGTGCGGACTTTTCTATCCAGGGCGTTAAGTTCAGTCTGAGTCCACCTGAGTATGCCAAAGGTATACATGAGGACAGGCATGACCCAGCCGTTATATGCGTGTGCCTTATTCACACCGGACAAAAGGCTGTTAAGCACTTTGGTCAAGCGTGCATAAAACACGACGAAAAATGACTGTTTCATAGCAGTCTCATCCATACCGATGTTTTGTGACATACCCAGGTATCGGTATGTTTCAGCCTCGGAAAGGGTCCTTAAGTTGACGGGCATAGATAAGTCTACGCCCTCAGAGTTAGCAACCCTTCCCCTTTCAACATGGAGGACCGCACACTTATCCGTCCCAAGCTCCATTCCAATGGAATTGCTAAATTCACAAGTGATGTTTAGCAATTCCATAAGATGGGAGCGACTGGAGGCGAATAACTTGAGGTCATCCATATAGAAAAGGTGGGTCACTTTTGTCCCTCCTCTCCGTAGCTGAAATCCCCTCCCGGAGCCCTCCAGTAAGGTACTGAGAGGGTTCAGAGAGAGGCAGAACCAGATTGGACTCAGACAATCACCCTGGAAGATACCTCTTCTTATCCTTATGTGGTTCTCCGCAGCCGCCATCCGCTCGCCCAGATGACAAAGGATCGTACTCCACTGCCCCATACACTGCTCGAGGAAGTCTCTAACTGTACAGTCTATCTTGTACAGCTCGAGGACTCTCTTTAGCCATGTATGGGGCACCGAGTCGAATGCCTTTCTGTAGTCTATCCAGGCGGCGGAGAAGTTCCGACGGTTGCGTTTCACCACTTTGCCAATGACCGCGTCAATGAGGAGTGGTTCCTTGGTTCCACGACCACCGCCCCGACATCCATTTTGAGCGCGCGACATCACCTGATTTGAGTCCAGGTGACAAGTGATTCTCGCGCTCAAAATGGATGTTAGTGTCTTGTATATGGTCGGTAGACACGTGATGGGGCGGTATTTGCTCGGGTCTGTGGTACCCTGGTCTTTAGGAACCAAATGAGTGATCCCAGTAGTGAAGAGGCTTGGGAGCGACTTCTGGTTGAGAGCCTCTTGAAACTGTCGGGCAAGCACAGAGTGACACACCATGAACCCCTTCAGCCAGTAGTGATGCAGCCCGTCAAGCCCCGGACTTTTCCAGTTCGGGGCCCTACGGACCGCCTCAGCTACGTCATCCGGCGTTATGATGACGGGGTCCATGGGCGTAATACCCGCACACTGACTCGCCACAACTTCCGTCCAAGGGCCCTCGCTGTGGTTTACGGGCTCTGACCACAGGCCGCGCCAGAATGCTACAGTGTCGGCCTGATTCGGTGCTGGACCCGTTCCACTTACCATTGGTCGCTCCAATGATTCATAGAGCCTCTTCTGATCACTCTGGAAGAGACGATTCTGGTTGAACCGTGTCGACCTCTCGGTATATCGCCGAATCCGTTTTCCCCAAGCAGCGATTCTCTGCTTCAGATCATCTATGCGCTCCGTCAGTTTTTGCGTTATATCCGGCTGGGACAAACTGACATTTGTCCCAGCAAACGCCATCCTGACGGTGCGCACAATTCTTGGCCTGTTGTTGCCTGATCTGAAGCATATCAGTCTGCCGATGAGAGCTCTAGCCTTTGCGATACGTTCCTCAATTCTTCTTCTTCATGCTGGGATAGCGCTACTATGGCCAGTAGCGCGTCCAGCCGTGGAAACCTTGGCGCCTATGATACGGCAGACTGCCAGCGCGGCGCCAAAAAGAATTGAGTCCGTCTCGCAAAGGTCCCGGCTGGCTTCCAAATAGGTCACCAGCATTGGGTTCAGAGCCCTCACGACAGCCCGATTCCGCTTGCTTAGGGCTATGCGGGGAAGTCGCGGTCGATTTTCGAGAGGCGTACTGCGCGTTTCCACAATCGCCTCTTCCAATGTACTCCTCATATGCTCTAATTCCAGTTCCTGGGCGACTGTTCCATCATCGTTTGAATCAACCACAACTGGGGTATTCACGGCGGCATCCACGTTTGCGGGTTGCTCTACCATTTGTGGCGCCGCATCCTCAGCCGTAGCATTCTCATCCGACGAGGGAACAGCCTCACGTCGTAGCCGTTCGAGTTCGGCGACATCAAATATATTTCAGCGCAAGATATACCGAACTCGGTCTGCCAGGTTTTGCTCTGTGACGGTTAAAGATGGCTCCAGCTCAGCAAAAAGACGATGCATCCTAGCCCGATACGCCAAACATCCAGTTTCTCCCCCTTTCGCCCCAAAATACGCCCGCAATGCGTTGCTGTTCATCTGGGTTGTCCAACGCATGCGGCGTACTCCACCAGAGGCGGGTGCCGATTGCTGGGCCCGCGAAGACCCTGCCGACACCAAGCCAGCTGGTGGGGATGATGGATGCGAGGGGCTGCTGGGTGGTCGTGCAGCACCTCGCGCTCGGCTGGCGGTTCGCATGCTGCCGCGTCCAGCGCCAGCTCCAGACGCGCCCTGGCGACCTCCAGGCAGCGGCCCTTTGCGCGTTCTTCCGTGTTCCATCATCCATAGTGGTGGGCGTCATTTAGCGGGAGACGCCCAGACCCGGCGCCGTTTCATGGTGAGGCCATGTGCACAAGCGGGCCTTTGCACCTTCAATTTTTGCCGAGGCACGGCACTAACACCTCTTGGCAAGGTGCTGACTGACTGCGCTGACGTAGCGGTTTTGTCACATAACCGTTACGTCAGCGGGCGATGGGGTCGTCACTTCCCTACGCCTTCTTATTATCATTATTATTATTATTATTATTTTGTTTGCTTTCATATCTCGGCTTTTACCGGTTTACTAATAGCACGGGCCTAAGCCAAGTGTACATTAGTGCTGGATTTGGTGCTATCCTGTGAACTACCTTATTCAGTTACCTGTGTGTTAGGTTGTGAGGCAATTTGTCTAAGTATAGGAGGTATGGTTTGTTCTTCAGTTTGCAGGAACTTCCTAACTATTCTGAATGTATTCAGTATTACAGCTTTCTGTAAAAGTTTGTATGTATTGGGTGGTAAATTTAAAGTTTTTACAGATTGGTGTAATTGCTTCGGTATTACGCCGGTTGTCGATAGGACAATGGGCACTATAATTACTTTTTGAAGATGCCAGAGTCGTTATAGTATTATTATTATTAATATATATAATTTATCAACGTGATTTAAAAATTAATCAAATTTTGTTTTAAAACAGGTTTAATACTATCGAAAAACAATGGAGCACAGAGCAGGAAAAGCGATTCCTTATTGACAGTTTTTATTTATCAGATCAGATGAAATCTGATTGAAATTTTGAATCAAGGTATCTGTTAGCATTAGGTAAATTATTGGAAATAAATATTTCACATTTATTGCTATTTGGTTCAAGACCAATATTTTTAAAATTTTGAAAAATATGAGTATGATCTCTGAGGACGTCATCTGCTATACCTCCCAGTGTACCATCGACTAGATACCATACATTCAGCTTGGATTTTAAATTTGAAATAATAGGTTGAATTCCCAAACTGAAAAGAGCTGGACCTAATAGATCACCCTGCTGAACACCGACAGCAGACTTATAAGACTTGTAACATGGTTTTGATAAACAAGTTCGAATTTTGACTGTAACATTGCTACTTCTTTCAGCAGGGTTATCCTATCATTAGAGTTAAACGCATTTCTAAGGACAACCTTCAGAAGAACTTCTGCATTAGAATTTGTTAAGAAGGTACGCACTGAATGTTGCCTAGTTGAGTAGGTTGAAATTTTGTCTTAAGGTTTGAGATTATGTGCCTGCAAGCTAATTTTGAAGTTAAGCGTCGAAATGTGGAACCAACAGCAATAGGGCGGATACCGTTATCCTTTTTTTTGAAGGCACACAATATTGCCCTATATAAGTAGGGAATGAAATTGAGATTGACATTACGAGAAAGCATAAAATTACATAATTTTGTAATGTCATTAAGAAGTACTCTACCGGAGTCACCGGCAGACATGCTTACAAGATCTTTGAGATGTAGAGTCGTAATCCCGTCAATGCCGCCGACAGAGCCATTCGAAAATGACAATATTGCATCCAAAGTGTCTTTTTCAGAAATTTGTAAAGGTTGTATAGATGTATTGGGAGGCAGCGGTAAATTCTGAGAAGAATTGACCAAAGGATGTTTCTGACGAAGGCCTTCAAGAGTTTCAACATTACGAGGAGCGAGGACATCATCTGAGAATAGAATACGGGATACATTTTTTAAGTCGCCATCAATTACTTTCGATTCAACTATTTTTTTAAGTCTAAATTAGGACAAGGTCGAGATAAATGAGTGTGAATCGGGTAATCTAAATTTTGAAAAGAATTCTCTTTTAGCTGAGACGTAATTGATTTATTTATTGTTTTATTAAAATGGAAATGAGAATACGCGAATGTAAATAATTTTTGCCAACTCTTTTCACAATTCTTAAGACAATTTTGAATAGTGCATGATAATGCTTTAGCAAATTACATCCTGGAACCTCTGGGAATTCTTTTAACCACTGGTACGTTACTATAAACATTGTATAATTGTTCCGAAAAAAGTGAAAAATTTGTGTCATTAGGGATATTACTAGAAGAGTCAGAAATTTCTACGGTAGGCTGTAAAGCCGAAGTATTTTTACTATGTCATCGTTTAATATGTATATTTAATCCTTTTTTACCTTTAAACAGCCTACCGTTACCGTCGGTACAATTTTGACACCGTAGGAAATCCGGCTATGAATGTATCGGAGCGATAATATTCATAGAAAAAGTAAAAAATTAAAAATGTAAAAATATATCTACAGCACTCAAAAGTTTATAATTTAGTATAAATTAAAATCTTTAAAACAAAAAATAAAAAAACTTTTCAGTTCACGCGGTAAGATTATGGAACTCACTACCGTTTAATTCCGTAACTTTATTGGTGTTTAAGAGACGTCTTAGAGATAACTTCTTTGCATCCTGTTAATTAATATATATTATTCTATTATATTAGTATTAGTTTATATATATATATATATATATATATATATATATATATATATATATATATATATATATCATATGTAACTATTATATTTATTATTTTTATCTACTGATTTGTTTTATTTTAATTTATTGTTTTATTTTATATAATTTTCGTAACATTTTATATATTATTTATTCATTAGTAGTAGTAGTAATGTATGCACTAAGTTTGCCATTTAAATATAATTTTCTTTATGGGTCTACTGGAAGATATTTCAGCAAATTATGGAATAAGTAGAACCTTTATACAAACTTATGATAAGACTGCTTCTGTATCTTGATGTAAAAAAAAAACCTTGTTTATCGCCTTGAAGCAATCTAATATTAATATTGTGTACAATGAATCATCAGAATCTTGAAGCGACCTATAACTATAACCGCTTACAGTTGACGGTTTCAAAGTTTCTTTTGGTGACAAACTCAGACACTATAATTCTGGCCTGCACAGAGAGTCTCCGTTGAGATTGGCATCAGTGATTGAAATTCGGTCTGGAGGACATAATTTTTTATTATATTAAACATTAAAATTTAGCATCTTTTGGCATTATTTGCGTTTGTACATGGTACGTGGTATTTAAGTTTGTACAAGATAGAACCGTACTGCAGCTAAATTGTGGTTGTAGAACGAACGAGTCGGCTCGGCTGGGGAAGGACCTCGCTCTTACAGTGCTGCAGAGTGGTACCGAAGGTGGCTCTTACCCCTGTAAGTAATTTTTGAAGATTTTTGACCCTCCCTCCCCTGAGGGAGGGACAAAAATCTTCAAAAATTGCGTTACGTACTACTTGAGGAATCAGTGTTAGGCTTACCTGGTTAGTAAATAGGCAACATAATTTGGGATTTCCATTCTTCAGGAGGGATACCGGTCATAAAAATATAATTTAAAATAGAAAAATATAGGTTTTCGTAGATTCACTGCTATTAGTAATGAAAGAATGATGAATTCAATCAATTCCTGGTGAAGAATCTTTGAGAGCACCAAGAACAATATATAACTTCTCATATAAGGAAGGGGAGTGAAAACTGTGTTGATACTGCAAGGTATGTGAATGAAATGTTATACATTCATTATAATTGTAAAATGACAGCTTAATGCTTCTGTGTTCCGCATGGTGAGAGAAGTGAGTATGCCGGAGACCCTTTTTACTGAAAACAAAGCATTCCATCTTTGTCCTCGTGGATGGCAACGCATCTGCATTTTGATTCTTAGTAATCGAGGACAGATATAAATGTCTATGGGCCACAGAATCCATTTACCATCAGCTGGACTGTGTGCTCATTTGTCACCCTTATTCTATTTATAAAAAAACAATCTAATTTGGAATGAACTTATTTGTCTGTGGTTTCAACAAATTAAGCGAGTTTGTTATTGTTCTTCAGTTAGTTCATTAGGTACCCAATTTCGGAGTTTCTTAATTTGACGCAAATGAATAAGTATCTAAATAATCTTTTTTGTGTAGCTTAGTGCTACTAATGAAGTTATATTCGAAAACAAATCGAATTTTATATTTTTACGCGGTCACAGACCACAGATTAAATCTGTATCACAGACAATTGTATAAAAAAACGAAAGGAATGAACAAGGCAAGCAATAGATGGCGCATTGATTTAGTTGCATTCTGCGTAACAGGGACTCCACTATGTATATACTCGTAATGAACCACTCATGTGACCCTTTAAGCGCAGTGTTGCCGTATGAAGAAAAAAAGATGCACTAAACACTTATCAAGATTGCGCTATATTTTACAAAAATTTGTTTAAAATCCACCAAATTCCCATAAATTGAATCTTGTATATGTATAAGGAAATATATGTGGTACTGTGCCTAACGAGCCATGTCAGCCTTTGTTTAAATCCTTGAAAATTTTGACACTTCCTTGTCTATATATTTTTGAAGCGGCGAAATTTGTAAAAACAATATGTATTATTTCACACAAGCCAAAGACAAACGAGACACTAGAAATAGGAATAGGCTGGTTTCCACTATAATACCCAAGAGTGCGAGAT